AAAAAAAAAAAAAAAAAAAACTGTTCAATTCTTTGCTCCAAGTTTGAAAGAACAGGAACTCGTATCAATAGCTCGATGCGAGATCCAAACTTTTTAAATCTTGCAACAACGCAGAGAGAATGATAGAAGATCGTTAGGAGAAATGTAGAACAGATTTCGAATTAACAATGATTGGATCTTGCGTCAGGCAGACGGAATTAGAGAAGCAAGTTATAACAGGGAAAAGATGGCACATACGGTTAAAAGCATCGCAGATAGCTGCTTGAAATCGCGAGTGAGCTCGTCGACCGCCGATTTCAGACCAGGCACCACCTCGTCGTCCGGAAGAATCCCTCCGCTTCCTGTCACATTGAAAACATGTCGAGCTTCTTTCTCATCGGTGTGTCTGCCATAAAGAATATTAATAATTTCCAATACAATATGACCACAAGTTATAGAGAGTCATACTTCGATGGTCCTGGCTTCACGTATCCGTAATTGCCCTCGTTGCGTTCGTATTTCGCTCGCATTTCCTCCGGAAGTTCGCAGAACGCGTCGAAAGCTCTGTAGGCCGCCTTCATCTGCAAAAAAAAAAAAAAAAAAAAAAAAAAAAAAAAACGGTGCACGCATTATCGCGCCGGTGAATATTAGAAATATAGAAATCTAAGATTAAACAGTATGAAAGTTATCTTCGTCAGAGGAACGTTACACGACTTCGTGTGCTGACGCTTGAAAAATGGCCAACCAAATCAATCCAAATGTAAGAGCACACACTTGCAAGAGTTGCAACAACTTTATTCAATGAAACATTACGTAACATTAGCGTAATCGTTCGGTATCAGATGACGATTTCTGGCACATCTTCGACGCACTGATAAGACCATGTCACGTTTCGCGCCGTGTCATTTTTGTTATTCACTTCGGTTAACCGAATTGCGAAACTGTACGAAAACCTATCTCGCCGATTGTAAGTACTTGAGATAATGCATAAATGCCAAGGGAACGTGGACAATTGTTGTATTATCTTTCTCGTCAGTCTTTGAACTCTATGGAACAAAGTCACCTGCTTCTTTTTACCATTTTATTGTTCCTTCAAGTCCAACGCTGTTCGAAGATTCGATAAGAACTTCACAGAAATAATATACAAGGATCGTGAATCTTAAAGCAAAAAGACGTGAGATAGACGTGACTTCGATCGCTGAGAGTGCTTCGAATTCACGTCTGAATAGTAGCACGAGGTTCTCGACTTTCAAAATCAGCTTGTACGACACGTTCGACTCACGTTTCGTAAGACGAATCGCTTCGTGAAATCTGTATCGCTCGCTGTATCAGAAAGAAGCTCGTTTCGATAAAATAGCAGCAGCTCGTAGGTGAAGAAATGCTTCGAAGTTCCATTCTGTGTCGATGGTTCTACGTTAAAAAGGAGAAGTCGCTCGGTGAAATTTTAAGTAACTGATCGCTTATATAAACGCCATCGAGGTTTATATAAGATGAAGCTTTTTTACATTCCTCTTTTTTTTTTCTTTCTAAGGATAATTTTTACTATTTATTGCGAAACAGCTTGTGAACCAATCCGCGCAACCATCAAAGTTAAAACACACAGACGTAAATTTTGTATGTTCCTTGAAATACGCTTGATTGTTTGAATTAAATTAACGAATTAACAAAGTAAGAGAGGAAATTAAATTTGTTAAAAAAAGAAAAAAAAAATGTCTCGAGGTGAATTGCAGAGCGTCCGTGTACTATTTTTCCACGCTTCTTTCTCGCAACAAGATCACTTTACCCAATCAGTAACGTTGATTGCCACAGAATTCTTCCATCGATCGAATGCGTTGCTTGCCACGAGGCCAGAATGGAACAGACCAGCCACACTTAACAAGTAAATAATCTGTTTTGCATCGCAACTATGAAATAGTCGAATCAACAACATGGCCTGTTGTAACGTATAATTTGGATTGTTCTTTCGCCACTAATTTTTAATTCCACGCCGGCCGAAGTGAATTACAAACGATGGTTCATACGAATCAAGATCGAGCTGTGCCATTTAACGTGGCTGAATTTAAATATTGAAATTTTCAAATATTTTTGGTTGTTTTTCCATTGAAAAGTTTGACCACATATGTATGTAACAGATAATGAATTTAAAAAAAAAATATTAGTATTTATTGAATGTTGGGAATACGTGAACGATATATCGCGACTGGAAATGAAATTTGCGGTGGGGGAATTTCATCTAGTTATAAGTTATTAAATTCCACTGTGCCAAGCTCCGGTAACAAAATGCAATTTAGAAATTAACGACAGGAACTCGAGGATTAAAAACTCCCGGGAACGACGGAGAATTCGAAAATTAAAGAACAAAGGAATTAGGGCACATTTTACAAATTACAAATGATTGTAAGAAGCGAGCCTTCGATGTAAAATAATGTAGAACAAATAAACAAAGTCAAATGTTCGTATCGAGAAGGAGTATTTGAAATTTCGAAGAAACAGATCCTCTCCGATCAAACAAAAAGTTCAAATCTCTCTGGCCAATTAGCGAAACTGTCATACCAACTATCAACTATCATAACAGATTGAGAAATTCGAAACAGGAAATGGTTTTCTTATCTATATATTATCATCGATCGTGTAAATCATTTCTCTTGCACAATGTTTAATAAAAAAAAAAAAATTACAAAAGTTGCGACAACTAGGGAATTCCTTACACAACGAATGCAATTCATTCAAATATTGGCTTCTCTGCTTTCCCTCGGCAAAAATGTCTATTGAATTCTAATGAACTCTGCTGTGCGTGAAGAATGACTATGCCGTTCAAGGTAATTTATATAATAGTGCAATAAGAAAATGGAAAGAATTGCTCTTCCGACTTATTTTTTCAATCGCTTGGTCATACATACATATTTCGAACTAAATGTTCCTAGATAATTAGGGGGAATCAGTTTGCCAGGTTTGTTTCGACCTTGAATGTAACAATAATCAATCTCGTAAACATCTTCTTTAACTCATACAACTTGGATGGAATCAGTCAAGCATGCGAAAAGAGTTTATTGATCTATTATACGGAAAAGAGCCACAGATATGGTGTGATGCAGGTGTTGGACATTCTTCCCTCGAATCTATTTGAACAAAAATTTCCCTTTAGACTCGTACGTAGATTCTTTTCTAACATTTCAATTCTTCATCTACGAATTCTTCAAACTTAGAGATTCTTAAATTTTCCGAATTTCGAAGTTGTCAAAAATTCAAATTCCTCGAACCTAACAGTCTTGAATATTTCTTTTGTCCTAACCTGAATCTAACCTGTTGTCTAAACCTAACCTAACCTAATCCAAGTGTTTGTTTCCGTTTCGATTATCAGCCATCGAGAGAATAATTCGCGCGTACGCCGAATGAATTAACGCATTATGCGTGCAGACGTAGTGCAAAGATAAACGATAAGCAAACGTTCGCGTATTTGTAGTAGATCACGCGCGTCATAACCTCGTGTGAATTATCTCGTGAAATTGTAACGAAAACGACCACGATAACGCGCTTCTTCTTCGATAGCAGGTCTCACCAACTTCGACAAGGTCGTCGCGTGAAATCCATTTGATACTTTTTTTTTTAAATCTCCGAATGTGTTTGTCATGACGTCGTGCTACAACAAACGTTTGAATTTCGCGGGTGTGAACAAAAAAACACTTCCATGGGGGGGGGGGAGAGTCGTGTCGTGATTTCAATTGCTCGAAAATATCAACGTGAATAAATGAAAAAAAGATGAAAATATCTATCAACAATATTCGTATCTCGAAAATATTCTACGTACCAATCATTATAATGATTCGAGTGATAATTGAAGTAAATAGACTTGTACAATCGTGTGTTTCTATCCCAGCAGAATATTCATATTAATTTTGGCGAGGATATCCGAATTTTTTCAAGCAGTTCAAACGAAAGCCTGAAATCAGTCGTATTGGCAGGTATTGATTGTTATAGTGCACTGATAAAATTACAATAGTTAAATTGAAATGGTGCAAGAATAAAGTAAATTAAAACAGTAAAATAATAAATAATTAATTAAAATGGCACAACAATACAAAATAGTGAAATAATTATTTGTAAAGCTTTTACGACGATAATTCTAATAAATAATATTTCTTTGTCATTTCAAACATCCTGCCGAGAAAGTGTTAATAATTTCGTGCACAAACAGTACGTGTACAGCCTTGAACAATTAGCAAATGTTCCATTTGACTATTTTAATCGTTAATCATTGTCCATTCTTATTATTCGTTACTTCTATTATATATATATATATATAT